GAAAAACAAACTATCAATTTTCTACCTGCTTGTCAAAATGGAAAACCCTTCCAAGACAGGACCATACTCATGTAATAGTTTGAGGGCTTGGGGGAAAAAAAAACAAGACCTGGCCACACACTACAGTAGACTCACTGATATTCTAGTGACCCAACATTTAGTGAGTAGGTCTAGAGGTGTACAGTTCCCTGAGGGCAAGAGGTCAAATACCTTAGAAATGACTGGTTCTTGGTGAACTAGAGGAAAGGGCAAGAGAACAATTGGAATTTGACTTAAAAATCTACACCCCTTGAAGATATGTTTTCTGATGCTCAGAGGATGATTACACTGGAGGAGGTAGGGCAAGAAGCACTTTCACTGCCTAAACTGCCTCTTGCAGAAGCTAGACTGCCACAAAGGAGTCCAGCATCAGTTCTGGTTTTCCTGCCTATGTCCTTGTAATTTGCACATACATTATTTAACTGTTTAGGTTTTAATTTCTTACTACAGGGAGAGAATTGGTTATAAATTTCATACATTTTAATGAGAAAAACCATGCTGCATTAGAAGACAAAATTTGTCAGTTTCTGAGGCAGGAGAGGCATCACTGCATAGGCTGAGTGGAGAGCAACTCAAGCCAGTTCCCTCTTCTCAGCCTCTGGGGCTGAATCTCCCTCCTTTGGAACTGTTATGATGACGTGGCTGAGCTCCCTGGGAGAATAATGCAAGCCTTTTTCTCTTGATGTTCCAGAAGCCTCCATGAGGATCTCGCTGGGAGAATAATGCAATCCTATTTCTCTTGACGTTCCAGAACTGTCTATGATGACTTCGCTGAGTTCACTTGAAGAAGATTGCAATCCTTTTTCTCTTGAAGTTCTACAACTGTCTATGATGACTTCCCTGAGCTCCCTGGGAGAAGAACAATGCAAGACTTTTACTCTTTAAAGTCCCAACTTTTTCTTACTCCTGTGTTAGCTAGGAATCTTAAATCACCCCTCCGCCATTTACCCTGCATCCTTATTGAAGATCTTGTCATCAGAAGAGTCTGTGTCATGTAGCTTCTGGCCCATACTTTTCTTGGGTGTGACACTGATCGATCTGTACATACCCTTAAGCCAATTTGGCCACCTTAACCAAAGAAGCCCTCCTAGGAAAGAGAAGGGGAGATATTAATTCTGCTTTCCCTCCGTTTTCCAGCCACAGTGCCAAGTCCTCTTCAAACTTGCCTGACTCTCACTTTCCTTTTTGTTTCTCCTGCGCAGAAATCCGAAAAATCCCCTTGGAGGAAAACACATGCACAAGGCAGTTAGTGAGTCATGTTATTTTACATGTCTCTTAAAATGTACATCTCAGGTCTTACTAAGACAAAAACTTGTGCTTTGGTCCATAATCACAACAAGCAAAGTCACCCCAGACCTGGGGGCTTTAAAATAATTCCATGCATCCAGGAGCTGTCCATGTCTGCCCCAATGAGCCTGACAATGTCTGGGAAGCCCTTTGTATGGGGTGTGGCTTGGAGTGTAGACAGGATCAGTAGTCCCACTTATCCCCTCTGCTGTGTGCCCTTGTGCAGTGAACAAGCTGCACAACCACACTGGGAAGAAGCATTTCACACTCTCAGAGCCTTTCATATTAGTCCTCTTCAGATTTGGCTCTCATGCATCATTCACTTACTGGGGCGGGGTGGGGGGCAGGGTGAGGGAGAAGGTAGTTCTGTTTTCCTAGCTGCTTTCCCCATAAGTGGACTCATAGGCAGCCAAAGTAAATATATGAGTCCAACTAATGAAGTATCTAGCTCATAGATTTTCCTACTGAGGCTGTTACTAATAAATGCAGCATGGAATCAGTTTAAAGGCTAATACTAGCACTAAAAGACAAAGTATCTTGTGTGTATTGTTCTAGAAACTACGTTCATTGCATGGTATGTGAGTACTGATTCGTGATATAAAATGTAATCACAGCCCAACCACAGTGTAAGTAATGGAGAAGTGTCAGGCTTCAAAGGAGCCACCTTCCTGAGACTCACTAGCAGTATGACCATGGGACAAGATGTTTACCCTTTTTCTTTCCCATTTCCTTATGATAAACAGAAGAGACCAACTACTGTCTAAGGTCTTTCCTAACTAAAGATCTATGAGGTTTGGTTAAAAGAGAGAGTAGAGATGAGAAGGTAGCTAATAGGATTGAGAAGGTCAGTTTCACACTACTTTACAGGAAGGACTCAGAAACTCCATCCTTCACCAGCCCTGCCTAACATCCTGGGGCATCCCAACAGAGGCCCAAAGCCTCCAGTAAAGTCTCTGTCTGAGCTAGATGCCCACCACCAGCAGGAGCACGCATGACCTCTTACTCTTTGCCCTCTTTGCTTGAGGGACTGGTGATAGTAAAGTCCTGGCTTCCTCTGCCTTGACTATGGAACTACTTTTGCTGGAGCCAGTCGAAACCCTATGGGAAATGAGTATTCTTCCGGCATCTGGGTGTTTACACACTGTGAAACCAGTGAGTTCTACGTGCTTCCCTAGAGATGAGAGATGAGTTCTAAGTTCTCCCTAGTTCTCAGACCCTCATGAAAAGAGTGCTAGATCTATATTTACCTTGAGGACCTTCTCTATCATCCTCTGTTCTTCTGTGGGAATAAATCTGTTTTGGAAGAAAGCACAATTATGATTATCCACCACAGGAAACATTATCTTCAAATCTTTATCCATCCCTTTAAGTCTTACTAACTCATGTAACTTTTCTTAACACAGGAATTCTAGTCTGTTGATAGTTCTTTTTCTCTTCCACAGTTCCTAACTTAGGAACTTGCATGCAGCTGGCACTTGATAACATTGTACTGACTGTTTTAGATAAAATTCAGTGGAGAATTCTCAATAAAAACCCTTCAAATCGCAAAAGGAAACATCCTTATGTGGATTAAAAAAAAAAAAGTATCTCCCAGAAAGCAAACTAGCAGTGCTGTTTTTAGAGCAAAAGCAAGAGTAAAATGTTTCTTATTAGTGCTTCAATCATCCTGTTGATGAGTCCCAGTCAATGTAATAAGGCAAACAAATGGGTTATAAGCATTAGAAAGGAAGGGCCAAAATATTATTTGTATGTGAAATGATGAACAATTCAAAAAGCCCAAGACAATCAAATAAAATTTATTGGCACAATTGAACTCACTAATGTAATTAGATAGAAAATGAAGAGATCAGCCGAACACTCCACTAGCTTTCCCATGTATCACCAATAGAATTAGAAAAATGAAAGAGCTCCTTACACGACAATAAAGATGTAGGAAGTCCCTGAGAATAAGTTTACGCAAAGATGTATATGATTCAAACCCAGTACAAAACAAAGAAACAAACAACCCAAACCAAAAAATCCCATAAGCTCTGAGGCAAGGTGTGGGTGAGGATGGGGCTGATCGATGTGGTGGTTTCCACTGGAAACACACCTTGCTTATCACACCTGACTCCCTTTCCCAATGGAATTGTATTTGTCCGTTTTACATAAATGTATTCATTCATTCATGGTTTTTGATGGTTTTCCTTGGATCGCAGTGTTTCAGATATTTCCCAGTATTGTCTCTAAGGAGGCAAAACAGAGCACTGGTAGTAAGTGGTTCAGTTTATGCGCCAGGAAAATTGGAGGCTTTTATGCCTTTGGTTTTGTCACTGGGGCCTTAAAATCTTCATTTGTAAACAGGACTGATGAGATCTGCCTCACAGGATTTTGTGGAGGACTATATCAGATCTATGGAAAACTCTTTGTCCTAGTGCCTAGCACCCATAACTAAGATTGCTATGGCACCAGAGGCAAGTGGTCAAATCTACCAAAGGTTCCTGCCCATGGTAATAGACTAGAAAGCTCTTTCCACCAAATAACAAGTATGGCCTGTGTTTAGTTTCTCTCTCTCCTCTGCTCTCTCCTCTCAATCTTTATCTTCTCTCTCCTCTTCCCTCCCTCCATTCTCCCTGGCTTGTTTCCCAGTCTGTCTTATATTTTATGGAAATATTTGTTAGGGTGAAGTGTAGCAGTGTTTTTTACTTGCTCTTAAATAGTTAGGCAGCTCTTCTATTACGTTTTGTTCCACTGACTAGAATTATTAGAAGGTGACCTTGAAGTCTTAGGTAGAAGTGCAGCTCAGTTGGTACAGTACATGCTCACATGTAAAGGCCCTTTTTTAATTCCAGCACACACACAAAACTTGGAAGACCTAGTCTGTCTGTTGCTTGGACTCTGCATCGTACTTTAATAAATATTGAAATTGTATTATCCTCTTGTGGAGTTGACCCAATGCCTTATATCTCTTCTTTTGACTACCATTACTTCTATTTCAGGTAAAATATTGCAGGCTTTTGTCTTCAAAGAGCTATCGTTTAAACAGCAGAGGAATAATGTAAAACATAAATAAACACAAATCAGCTTGAACTGACATACAATTAAAAGCAGTATAGAAAGTTTATAGAAATTTCAAGAATGGTGTAAGTACTGGGAGATGCAGAGGGTACTCGGCTGTGCAGTGGCCAGTGATCAGCTTCCCAGGAGGTCTTCCAAACTAACCCGATGCTGGTCCCTGACTCCTAGATACACAATAAGACTGGACTGTAATCTTACTAATTGGCAGGATTGACCCAAATTCCGAATGCCTAGTAATGGGGCTTGACATTGAGAAATAGATTCTATAGAAGAACCTGTGTACACCATCACGGAATTACCTTTCTGTAGAGAGTGGAAAATGCCTTTGGTTTTCAGTTTGTGGGTCTGTTCTATTGACAAGAAGACAACAAACGATACCTGGAAACCTGAATGAATTGTGTTCTACCATAATGAGGACAGAAAGGAATTGTAACATAGGATCGTAACTCGCCAGGCACAGGTATTGCCAAGATAAGTTGTTTTTTCATAACCATATGCTGGAACTTCTGTGTGTAGCTAAAAAGAAGAATAAGGATGTTTTGTTAAGTAGCAAGGGATGGGGAAGGATGAAAACTATTTAAAACCCCATTTTCCAGATGGAGGTAGCTTGTAGGTTCTTATGTAATCAAGATCGTAACTCCCATGGCCACAGGTATTGCCAAGATAAGTTTGTTTTCATAACCATATGCTGGAACTTCTTGTGTGAGCTAAAAAGAAAAATAATAGTTTTTGTTAAGTAGCAAGGAGATGGGAAGGATGAAAACTATTTAAAACCCCATTGTTCCAGATGAGTAGCTTGTAGGTTCTTAAAGAATGCAAATATGTTACATGCCTTATTAATTTGCATTTTTCTATTAAATTTTATCTGTTTTAGGTCCACTTCAGTCTCCAAAGGAGCAAAATGGGGGACACAGTCTTAGCCTCATAACTTTGCACTGCACTAGCACCCCTGGTCTTCCTGCTTCCTGCCTAAGCATGGGAAATCTTGGGCGTATCCTGAATGATGGGAAAATCAGGGTCTTATGTTTTACAGATTTCCTCACCTCACTTGATTCCTGCCCCTTCTGTCCACGCTGAAGCTCTGTACTGTCACTGATGTAGTCCTCTGTTTTCCAGTGGTCTGTATCCCAGTCAGTTCTGGACACACTGTGTTCTCGCTCCTCACTGAGAAGTTTCATTAGGTAGCCTGTTCTGAGGATGAGCTTAGAACAGGCCTTCTGCACATCAGCATCAGAGCAGTCAACCCCTAAGGTCTTGATCATTTGAGAAAGAAGTGTTCTCACATCATTGTTGGGGATGAGGGACTGAAGCTGCTGGATTAGTTTTGATACAAGAAGGTCAGCCAGGGATGCCAGTGTGGTAAGGAGATCTTTGGGCTTGGTGGTTGAGTCAGTGCCCATGTTGGGGTACTCCCATTGTATCTCATTGGTTTGTTTCACAGTTGGTATTTTGAATGCACCCACACTGGAATCTGCATCAGCAGCATCTTCCTGGTTTGTGGCTTCAGAGAAACTTTCTTCTGGCTCATCAGTGTTTGCCATAAGAGCATTTTCTTCAGTCTGTTTTGTATAGGAGTGTCCTCTGTAACAGGTTCTGAAAGCGCATATAATTCTGAAAAAAGGGTTGTCCTGAGAACTCAGGTCTCCCAAAGATGCAATGGCCCTTTGTGAAGGGGAATTTATGAGGCTCCTCACCGCAGGGAAGGGAGGCCTGTGTGCAAGCAGCATGCTCAAGCGAGACTTTTTCTTTCTGACCTTTTGAGTCAGTTTTGACTTAGGTGTTCCATGGACCACACGAGAGCCTGTTTTATGAAGGAGATTTTTTCGGTCATGTATGATTGGTTTAGAAGCCTCTATGTTTTTAACTCTAGCATTTGCATCTTCTAAAACAAACATGGTGTGGTTAAGTCTTTTGCTTTATTTCTGACGTCAGGTAGTGGTTTTGCAATAGTAGACATGTCCGCTGAGTATGGATTCAGGGAAGAAGAGACAGTTGCCTTCTGTTCTTCTGTGAGTGAGGGGTCTGTTTGGAAGGTGAATTCCTCTGATTTCCATGGCTCCTGTACCATGGAAGCTTCTGCAGCTCCCCTAGGGATGGTCTCCTAAGCCTTCTTTCTGCACCAATATTCTCCATAAGAGGCAGGGCACTCTGTCTCCCCCAGATGCTCTGTTTCCTCACTTCCTTGAAATGCCTTTTCTGTATGCTTTTTGGCCCCTTGAGGACTCTGTTCACCCTCTGCAGCCTTTTCTCTGCAGTCTCTGCCAGGCTGTTTTCCTGGGTTGGTCAGTATCCATTTTCCATTGAAAGATTTGGCGTTCAGATTTGGGACTAAGAAGGCTAGGCTGCATAAACATGGCTGTTTTTTCTTTTTTAACCTCATCAATTTTTTCCTGAATTTCTGCATCTAACAAACTTTTCCAGAAAATAGAGCTTGTTCAATTTACTTTTGTAAGCTGAGTTGTCTGAAGAAGGTTTAAGAGGGGGTCTCCTTGTATCAGTTTTCAAATTACCAGGGGAATTATTTCCATTTTGCACATTGAAAAAAGCAGTTTAATGAATGGTAACAATTTTGATTCTACATCTTTTAGATTTCCCTGTGAGAAAAATGGCAATAGGTAATTTAGTGCACTAATGAGATCACTTTCATCATCATTAAAGTCTGGCTGCTCATTTATAAAGCCAGAAGAGCTGACACCATTTTGGTCCTCATATCCCCTTTCTGGTTCAATAGTCAACTCAGTGTTTGTGCTCTTCTTCCGGGTCTGTAACACCTTCATGAATTTTCCTTCTGTGTTCTCTATAGATGCTTCTTCAACTGTCAAAAAAAAAAAAAAAAAAAAAAGACTGCTGTTGAGAAGGGGAAGACTGGTGGACAGTTTTTTTTTTTTTTCTTAAATCAGATCATCGCTACAAATCACAGACAAAGTAGAGGGGAGGCATTATTTGAGTGTCGTTTAAAGGGGAGAAAAATAAGCCCAAACTTTAAACCTATGAAATGGCAACAAAGAGAGAAAAAGACAACTTTGACAAAGTAGCTACCTATTCAGAACATTCCATAGTGTGAAATACAGGAACTCTGGTTAGGAAAGCCAAATGCCCAATACTCAATAAAATACCAAGACTGGAAGACAAATATTTGCCTGCTCAGCAAACCTCTTCACATTCACAGTTCCCATATTGTCCTGACTCAGACACAGAAGGATAACAAAGCTTCTCTCTCAACTCCCCTTCCCCATACTGTGTTCTTGCTACTGTCACAGAGAGCCAGATGAAGGACAGTCCTATGAGGGGAGCATTCTTTCGCTAAGAAATCTTCAGGTGGCCTGTCCCTCTCCACCTACCCATTTAGTTCCTTTGCTTGGGCTCTGATCCCATGTAGCCTAACCCCCATAACAGAAGACTCTATACCAAACAAAAACAAAAACACTCTACCATTCCTGGATTTTTCCTTAAATTTGGTCAGGGAGCTGGGATATGCAGGTCAAGGAATTTTCAGTTTGCCTGGCTGTATGTCTCTGTGCAATGTGCAACAAATCTGTAGAGTAACAGCAACTTCTGGGGAAACACGTCTTGAGGTCCTAAATCCCTGGGGGGAAAGCTACTTTTTTTTCTTTTCTGTCCTTTTTTGTTTTTTCTCTTTTTTAAACTTTATTTTTATTTTGAAAAGATACTTTAGCCCAATGTTTGAACTGCTTTCATTTCATTACTAACAATTCCAACTTGGGAGCCATCCAAAGCATCTGATTGCATCGAGGTCAGCTGGAGTATGGTGTAGTTAGGCTTTTTTTTTCCAGGACATTTGAGAGTATTTGTGGTGGTAATGAGAGTTAGAGCAGGAGACAAGGGTGATGAGGAAGGAAGAATGTGGACTCCTGGAGAGCCCAGAACTGGGGACAGATGATCCAGGTATTGGGATAAAGCACATGGCACCTGAGATCTTATTTTCCTCAGGATAAAAGGAAATGAAAAAGTATGTTTTTCATGTGGGTAAAACGAGAATAATGTTACTGCTGAAAAATTGTTTTGAACACTGGGTTCACGTAAGTCACAAAGTGACTTCACCAGTAGGCTTGTGTTTTCAAGCTATCAGGATATCAAAGCACTGATATTTTGAAAGCCAAGACGTTAGTGCTAATGACAAGATATAATACCTACATATACCCATAAAAGCACCTAAGGGATCTGTGCATAGATAGAAAAGCCTCAACTGAGAGTGAGTTCAGAGTTGGACAGTCTAAGCATGAAGAGCTCTCACTTCATTAGGAGAGTAAGGCAGTAATTGCTAGTTACAGAATTATAAACTCCCAGATTCCAAATAAGAGAGTAGCACTTACTTTTTTTTTTTTTATATAAAATTGCAAAAACAAACAAGCAAAACACTGCCCTGTAGGTCAGGGAGCACTTGAGACATAACACATATAAAAGCTACTTACAAGCTGCATGACACTGTATGAATAAGTGATCCCTAGATGTCAAAGCCCCAAGGGGAGAATACAGTACAGTGACCATTAATATTATTCCCTGCCTCTTCTAGGTCCTTGCCCATATGGAAGAGTTCTATTAGAAATTATGCAATGACAACTAAGAACCTGACATTGAGCACGGGAGCAGTTCAGAAATTTAGGAAGTTTAACTCTGGGTGAATAAATAAAAGTAAAGCAATTACATTATTAGTTTAATAATTTATCACTATTTAGAAACTGAATATTAGAAATTAAAATTAAAACATTTTTCAAAAGACAACGGACTCACGACACTGTGTGGTGTTTGGCAGACATTCATTGTCACAATGCAGCTTGACTGTCTTGCAGACAACTTCAATGTTACTTTTATATTGGCAGAGGCAGCAGGCCATATGGCTAGGTAAGATCCTACAGATGGAAACACAGATAATTAAGTTAATGGAAAGGGGGTACTGAAGGGTAGAAGAGGAAGGCCACAGGGCTGTGCAAAAAGAACTCTTCAGGTAGCACATAACCTGGACAGGTTGGAAAGAGCCCAAAGGTAAATTGCTGCTCTTGCATATTGAAAATAAACAGGAAGGAAGACAGGTGCCTAACTGAAGGATCGGCATGGCAGTGGGTGTCCTATGCCTAAAATAGAGTGCTAAGGATTAGAATTGGGTGACATTGGTCTGTAGTATCAATCAGAAGCATCTCCTCTCAACTCAAGTCTCAGTCTGGGTTGGCAGTGCACAGGAAGGAGGCAGACTTCTATGATAAACTCCCAACTTAGGAAGTCACTTTCTCAATTCCCATCGGAAGTGGCAAATACTAGAAATTATTCTGGGCATTAAAAACAGCATAGCTTAATCCATATTGTGTGGTTAGAAAACACTGTGTAAATCTGGGCAATCTGAGCACACAAAAAACTAGAGGGCTAGGGGTGCAGCTCAGTGGCAGAGGGCTTGTCCAGATGTCTGAGAAGATCCTGGCTTTGATGTCAGCATCACCCACACAAGAACTGTAAAGATGATAATAAGGTACAGCATAAATAAGAGGAATCCTGTACCCATAGTAATACTCAAAAAAAAAAACAAAAAAACAAAAAACCAACAGGTGGAGGAGGGCTGTTCAGTAATAGAATAATGCAAGCTAATAAATGTAGAAGGAATGACAGAATTAGAAAAGCATCATTTTGTGAGCACCAAGTAATAACTGGTTTGAATAAGGATTCTCACTGATGCATAGGTGGGTGAAAAGATGCTTCAGGGCAGCATCTTCAGTGATCTCTAATTGATGGTCCACTGGTTATATCATAATGATGAAGCGAGAATTTGAAGATCTTCAGGATGCCACTTTAATCAGGTGACTAGACAGTAGCACGGGTCACCTGAAATCATGTGGTATATCACAGGGTTAACCTAAATTTAGTCTTGAGGAAAAGACAAATCCAGATTGTGGAACCATTTACAAGACAACTGTCTCAGACTGTTTAAATGTCCCAATGTCATGAAAGACCAAAAAAAAAAAAAAGTGGTGAAATGTTTTAGACTAAAGGAAATAACAGCTGGTCTGTGAATAAAAACAGACTTAAAGAGCATTACTGGCTTATGGCCAAGATGGAGTGACAGGAACCAATTTAAACTTACAACCGAAACAGCAATAAAATATATGAAAGAACAAGTTTTCAAGACATTGGGTATCAGACAGTCATTAAATGGGAAGTAAATGAAGTGAGCCCCGTGATTTCCCTACCTGTTAGTCCCTGAGAAAACAGAATCCTTTCCTCTTCTAAGTTGTTTTCTCAGGTAGTCTGTCATAGGGATGCAAAGCTGACTAACACACTAGCTTACCACTCCGAGAGAGTTTCCAGGTTACAAAGTAGGGAAGGAACACAAGCAGAGACTGATGATCTCCTTACTTAAGGAAATGGACTTGAGGGCTGGTTGAGTGGCTCAAGTTGTAGAGAGTCTGCCTTGCAAGTGTGAGGCCCTGAGTTCAAGCCCCATACTACCAATAAATAAATAAATAAATAAATAAATAAAAGAAATGAAACTCGAGATCCAGGTGAACCAAGGTGACTATAATTCAGAGCACAGTACCAGATGAGACAGAGTCACAGAGAAAAAACTCTGGAGCCGTGTCGAAGGATGGTCAAGTATACAGCAAGTGCTAATCAGTGCATGTGTGTGAGGAAACTACTCAGGGGTAGGAAAAGCCCCACCAAACAGATTAGAGGATATGGCACAGGGTTAGGAATACTGCCTGTTCCCACAAGGCAGACTGGAAACCCTAATGATCATAGGGCACTGGGTACTCAAAGGTCTTGCCTTAGTACTTGTCAATAATGACTCTGGATTAAGGGTTACTTTGTGGTCCCTCTTCACAAATCTTCAAAGTTAGAGCCCAAATGGTAAAATTGTTTTGAGTAACATAACCTCACCTGAAATATGATCAAGCATATTTATAGGAATATCAAAATATACAGCACACAACAAACTCAAATTCACAATGTGTGGAATCCAAAAATTACTAAGGATGCAAAGAGGCAATGATCTGTATTGAGGGGAAAAACAATCAATCAAAACCAACACAGAATTTACATGTATGTTAGAATGAGCACACAAAGACATGAACGAGTTCTTATAAATGTCCATGAGGTACGTACAAAACTTAAAGAGTGAAAATGGCCACAGAGAATGATAGTGTTTTTCCTATCCAAGAAAAAAGCAACAGGGCATGCTGATGCCCGCGTGTAATCTCAGCACTCAGGAGACAGAGAGGCAGGAGGATTGCAAATTTAAGGGCAGCTTGGGGGGAGGATGGAATAAAGGAGAACAGTGGAGCGGGTGAATTTAAGTATGATGTATTTGATACATTGTAAGAACTTGGGTAAATCATACAATGTACCAGTACCCAGCACAAAAATAAAAAAAAAAAGGGAGGGGGGGTTTACATAGCAAGACCCTGTCTCAAAAAAGAAGAAAAGAAGAGAAATAGGAAGGTGGGAGGGAAGGAAGCAAAGGGAAAGGAGGGAGGAAGGACAGGGAGAACACCACTACCTTGGGTAACTAAGAAGCCTGGTTAGTGATGAGGCCTCTGCTATCCAGAGGAAGGCATCTCCCTGACAGTGGGTGATCAACTGGCAGACACTGTATTGGAGGTTGAGGATGATGAGACTGGAGCAGAAACCAAAAGATTTGACAGTGTGGGGATCATAAAAATGATCAGAGCAGAGGGCTAAATGAAGGGCCTTTTCCATACTAACCTTGAGCAATCCTGTCGACTGGCCGAGGAAACATAGGAGAAAATCTTTATGATTGGCTTAGACAATGATTTTTTTGGTCACCACTGTGGGTTTTAAAATTTTTACTAGCATAACTTAACTGTACAAAGGGCTTTCATTGTGGTATTTTCAACAGGCATATGAAGTTCTTTGGTCATCTAGTTTACTCTTTCTTTGCCCCATCCCCTCTCATTCTTAACAGTTTTTCGGGTATATGGATTTTTCTTTTAATATTGTTTTTTTGTTTTGTTTTTGCGTTGGACTGGGGTTTGAACTCAGGGTTTTGCTCTTAGAAGCAGGTGCTCTAACACTTAAGCTGCACCTCTGGTACTATGGTTCTTAACTCAAGGCCTGTACTTGCTAAGCAGGCTCTCTACCACTTGAGCCACACCCAGTCCCTTCCCCACCACCACCCCTCCAATCCCCCTCCACTGCCTTTTTTTTTTTGCTGAAGTTTTGTGTGTGTGTGTGTGTGTGTGTGTGTGTGTGTGTGTGTGTGTGTGTGATTGGGGTTTGAACTTGGGGCTTCAAGAGTGCAAAACAGGTGCTCTACTGCTTGGACCTCCACTCCACATAGCCAAACATAAAGGCTATGTACTGTATGATTCCATATATAAAATGCTCAAAAAGCCAGGTACCAGTGGCTCATATCTGTAATCCTAGCTACTCAGGAGGCAGAGATCAGGAGGATTGTCGTTTGTATGCCAGCCTGGACAAGTAGTTTGAGAGACCATATCTCAAAAAAAAAAAAAAAATCATAAAAAAGGGCTGGTGCAGTTGCTCAAGGTGTTGGCCCCGAGTTCAAATCTCACTACCCTCCCCCCAAAAAGAAAGAATGCTCAAAAAAATGCTGGCAGAGTGGCTCACCTGCCTGCCTAGCAAGGACAAGACTCTGAGTTCAAACCCCAGTACCATTAAAAAAAAAAAAAAAAGTTTGATAGTTGCAAGTGGCTAGCAGTGGGTGGATTGGACTGACCCCGAAAGGATGTGAGGGGCTTTTGGAGATGACAGGATCGTGTAATTATCATCAGTGGGGTTGGAGTTACATAGCTATGCAAACCCATTAAACTGTAGACTTAAAAAGTGTAAATTTGGGAGGTTTGGCTCAAGTGGTAGAAGCACCTGCCTAATAGGTGCAAAGCCCTAAGTTCAAAACCCAGTCCCTCAAAAAAAAAAAGTGTGAATTTTATTACATGGAAATGGCATCTCAATCAGCCTGACTTAAGAAATTAACCAAGCAAACCAAAGGAGACTAGGTGATACATAGATCTAATAAAAACTAACTTACAGTTTTTCCAAGTTAAGAGTCATCAGGAGGATGTTCTCAAGTGTCCCAAGTCGCACTTGTGTTTTTCCCAGGTCCCTGGGGGAGAAAGCACACATTCATGAGGAACCTAACACAAAGAGTGTGTACTTAAAAAGACATTTCAAGGAAATGTTATTAGTTCAGGTTTGACTTCCCTATAATACGAGCCATCTCAGAAGTTTGTTACAGAAGTTAATTACTCTTATTGAAGAAATTTAAGTTTACCATTTGCATCATCAAATTAATGACCTTGGCATTGAATAGAGCCTAAGTCCTTTTTCTAACCATTAGCTTACTTCTCATTTTCTGTTACTTTCACTCCTACCCTTTACTCTTTGCTTTCAGGAACAAATGGTATTTGTACTTGTGTTTACACGTTCAATATCTCTGTGTCTTCTTCCCTGACTGGCTGTCTTGTTCATTATAACCCTTTCCTTTGCCAATAACATTTTTTTCAATTACCTAGTTAAAATTCAAATAATGACTTAACCTTTGATGAAGGTAAACAAGAAGAGAAATCATCTCATGACTCCTAAAAAGTACTGCAATACTTACAGGTACTTTAATGCTGGCAATTTAAAAAGATGGGAATCTTCGACAGTTGTCAGAGGATTACGACTGAGAATTCTGAAAAATGCAATGGAATTAAATGGTCATTTTCAATATCTATGAGACTACATGAAAGGTTTGTATTCATTTTTTGTATGAAAATTCTGGGTTAAAAAATAATTTTCTGTCTTTACCTACAAATCACTTTTAGAATCCGTAAACAGCCTTCCTTTGGGACTACCCAAGTCTCTAAAAAAGTAAAGTGGAGAAAAGAGGGGGGAAAGGTAGAAAAAAAATATGCCAAAGAACTTTCAGGTCAAAAACTCTTGAACTGATTACACTGGTAGGGAGCCCTGCCCTGTAGGAAACACTATTTTTAGTGTCCTCCAAAATTCACAAAGGTGCTCATCTTTCAATTTAGAGATGTAAAACAATTCATGACTGATTCACTCAGTTAAGGAAGAAATAGGACCAATTCCTTGGCTTTGAACTGGTGAAAGACACACTCCCATCCGATATTCTCACTTGTATTCTTCTGTCACATCACAGCCTTTGTTGCACTGCAGGTAATTAATCACCTGTCTTCCTATCAGTCTCCCAAACTATCAGCAGGTTAAGGGCAGGGACCACACCTTGTTGTTATCATCCCTGGCATAGAGCTTGAAATTTACTAGGTACTTAACAGGTGTTTGTTGAATAAATAAATAACATTCTGTATACATACTATATACATTCTTATTCACTCTCTCTCTCTCTCTCCCCCCCTTCTCCCTCCTCCCCCTCTTTCTGTCTCTCCTTTGGTAGAGGGCCTTGCTATGTAGCCCAGGCTGGCCTTGAAATCCTGGGCTCAAGCAGTCCTCTTACATCAGCCTGTCATTAACTGACCACAGGCTGTGTCTGTCACTGTGTCTGGCATAAATTCACTTTTGATATAAATTTTTACTTCAAAAGGATGGATAGGTTTTCTTTTCAATTCTTTAAGCCAAGTAAACAAAAACAAAAAGTAAAGAAAGAAATAGGAAGAAAACAAAACCTGCCTTTAGGTTAACTCTAACCAAGAATCATTAGCATAACTTCTGTGGAACACACAAATGATTATTACAGCTAGTATCTATTGGGCCGGCAGGCATCTCTGATTATCATTACACACTTAATCGTCACAGTAATCTTGTGAGGTAGATATTATCATTATTCCATTTATAAAAGAGGAAACTGAGGCACAGAGAGGTTATTGTCTCAGGTCACCAAGAAAGTAATAGGCAAGGCTGGAATTTGAACTCAGTTCTGACCCCAAAGCCTGTGTTTAACCTATATGAAGAAAAGGGAGTCACGACAGGTATAACTTAAAACTTAATTCTGAGAGGACTTAGTACAGAAATAACTTTTTGAATATTTTTTCCTTTATTAGAGTATATTACCTATACGGAAATTGGTTACAAGTAACTTTATAAGCCTCATATGCTCATCTGGGAAAGCCTGGAGGAGAATTATAATTCCTTTTTTTAAATTCCCTTTGCCCTGTGGTCATAAGACTTTAGAGATTTAAAATCATGGCACATGGTGACATCAGTGAAAATGATGAAGTAAGAACACAATAATCACCTCATACATGTAGGTATAAAAGAAATGTTATGAGCAGAGGAAGAATTCACTAAGTTTCCAAAAGAAGAGAAGATGGTTTGCTGCACAGATGTGAAGAATAAGATGCAGATGGAAGAAAAGAGGTCAAAATTGCTCAAAACTTTCCAACCTTTACAAATTAAGCAGCCAACGTAAATCATCCCAAAAGGAAAGACCTGAGCTGTTATTTTCATCTTTAATGATTTGGCCTCTCTCAATCTGAGAAGAAGATGCCAGGATTCCAGCACAAATCAAAAGTGATGACCGCAGCCTGAAGCGTGCCAATTTTGAGGCACCTACAGCTATCTATGGGAACCAATGCTAGCGGTCTGGGAGGAAGAACAGGGTGTTTCTGAGACTGCAGCTCAGTTTGCCTTCATAGTGGCCACTCCTGCTTCGTGGATATTCTCAATAGTAGAACAAGTAGTTCAACAGGGAGAAAGCTTGGATTTTCCTTCCTCTTTGTCTTAGTGCTTTTGTTCTTAGCACAATCTTGATGAGACAGACAAGCCCTGTGAAAATGCTCTGTCCAAATAAGATATATACTTTTTACCCGGTAGAATCCTTCAGTTTCTAAAATTGTGGAGCTTGTGTTCTTTGAACCAATGAAGCAACTAAAATAATTTTAAAAACTAAGCCATCAGTCTGGACCTGTGCAGGAGAATGAAGAAGTACTTTAAAGTTGGTGGTGGGCAGGAAGTGCACTTAACATTTAGGACTACCAGCCACTACTGGTTTCTGTATGTGTTTCCACTCCTGATTTCATCTGAAACAGAGATAGGATTGCTATGACCATTTGAAGAATGGTGCTTTGCTAACGAGCTTGGCTCCCCTCTGAGGTGGATTTGGGCTCTAACATGCTGCTAACTTGTTGTTTTTCAGTAACATAGAGGCTTTACTCAAGAGATTTATTGGGTTCTAATTACCTGAACCCAGGGGTGAATCTAGTACCAGGCACTATTGGGGTTTGAACCCAGGGCCTTGTGCTTGCTAGGCAGGAGTGTACTATTTGAGCCATGCCCTACCTCTTCTGATTTTCTCATCATCAGGAAGCAAATGTCTTTTCCTGTTAAGAGTAACACAGTAACTAGAGATAACAAGTTGGTGCATCCTCCTTTATGGGTCTTTCTTAATTGACCACCCATCCCTAATTTGACTGGAAACCAAAGACCACCCCCTCCCCCTGCCCCCAGGTTCTTTTCCCAAGTAGGAATCAGCAAAGTGATGAAGGGATAAAGGAGGCCGCTACCTCCAGGCACAGGTCAACCCCCCTCCAATCAGAAAGGAACTTGGGAACCTGAATTTCTCATGCACAAGGAAGGTGGATGATCTTTCCCAGAATAGAGTTTGGAGACTCAAAGTGAAAATTGTCCATCTTGAGTCTAAAATGCCTTTAGGTTCTTCAACATCATAGATTTCTTTCTTTTTTTTTTTTTTTTTTTGCGATAGGGCCTTCCTATGTAGTCCAGGTTAGCCTTCAACTTGAGCTCCTTCTGCCTCTGCCTCCCAAGTGCTGGGATTACAGGTGTGTAACACCAGGCCTGGAGAACAGCATAGAATTTTTAAATTTTTACTATTATATTTTTGGTAGTGGGGATTGAACTCAGGGCCTTATGCTGGCTAGGCGGGTGCTCTAATACTTGAGCCACATCCCCTTTTTACTTTAGTTATTTTTCCAATAAGGTCTCATGTTTATACCCAGGCATAAACTGTACTGTGATCATCCCATTTACGCTTGTCAGTGGCTAGGATTATAGGCACAAGTTATGGCACCCAGCACATCGTAGAATTTTTAGCTAAAAAGGTATTAAACCCCACACTTCTTGTTGAAGGTAGTAAGGGAAAAAAGTATATGGAGTCAGGCTAGAGCAATGTATTTTCTTTATGAATATTTTTTTACCATATAGCTTAACACAAACACGATTTTTTTTTTTCTTTTTTGGTGGCACTGGAGTTTGACCTCAGAGCCTCATACTTGCTAGGCAGGTGCTCTTACCGTATGAGCCACTCTGCCAGCAGCATCTTTTTCTTGAAAAATAATGTTCTGAAGAGAGAGGTGCCCTGTGGCAGGTTTTTAGGAATTCTTTTGATTTGTCATTTGGGAGAAACTGACACTGCAAAGGCACCTGCCACATTTGCTTCCTGGAGCATTCTGTGTTCAACTTGGCTCTTTGTAAGCAGCTCTACATTGCAAACATTTAAGCAGTTAGGAACTCTGCATGTGAGATGGAATCAGTGTAAGCTTGTGCGTGGAATTTCACGGGCCTTTCACATATGACAGTGGCACCATGACTATGCTAATTTGAGTGTTACTTGCACGATACCTCCAGTTGCCCCTGCCAAAGATCAGTACTAGGGAAATCAGAGCATGTCACATATAAGTCACACAAGGCTCCTGTCCTGTTGTGCCTTAGTTTCCTTACTTCAAAAAACAGAATGGATCAAGACATACTACTCACAAATTTGTACAGGGCTTATACCCAGCTAACAGTAATCTAATGAGGTTTTTCTTTTTTTTTAAGACATAATTCAGTTTTGAAACATGCTTATCTTTTATTCCACTTACACTTGCTGTAAAAACTGCATTCCATGCCATGCCTGAAATGTTCCAAAGTTCAACTCTGTGATGAAATTGCAACCAAGATTTCTACAAAAAAAAAAAGCCAAAGAAGGTAAGGAAAAAGATATTCTTTCAGAACACTCATCATGTGGTAGTGATTCTAACTTACATTTGATGAACTATAACGTCAATACTTTCCTCCTACATTAAAGAAATCTCACTGTGGATGATACTGGCTTATGATTTTACTTTCATATTTACAAATGCAGTGCATTAGATACAAAACAATGAATGCTTGAGGATTACTTGTGTCAAGTGATCTTTATTTCTCTACAACAGGGATTCACATCTTCAGTGCTACTGACATTTCTGGTTGGACAATTTTCTGTCTACTGTAGGATATTTAACACCATCCCTATTGTCTGCCCCCTAGGTGCCAATAGCATATCCACAGCCACCAAGTGTCACCTGGGGGGTAAAGTCACACTGATGGAGAAGCACTGCTGTGGAATGTTTCACTCTGTCCTGTAATGATCCTCACATTCATCTTTGCTGCACACTAAAAGAACCTGCATATATACTTTTAGTAACTTTCTATTAGCAAAATTTTAATTATCTTTCAAAATGAGTAACAAGATTCTAGGCATAATCAAGTAACTTACACAAACTTCAAAAAAGGTAGTGATTCAAATGTCCCTCTTTCAATATACTGTATTTTATTACAGGATAAATCTCTAGGAAAAGGAAAACATTGCATCGATTAGTTATTAGATATCTAATTAGCATGAATAGATAGAGTTTAGACTCAATAGTACTGAAAACATAGTTTTTTCTAAACTCTAAACCTTTGGATTTGAACTTTCTAAAGCCCCTAATCTTGTTCCCACCTAAGACTCATCTTCATGATTTTCATAAATAAAACATACAACTGTAGATCTTGAAGGAGTTTGGAGATAATCTTTCCTGATAGCAGGAGGACTATGTGACCTTTTGTATTCTCATCAAATTCCATATTTTGAGCTAAAGGTTTTAAGTTGTATGTATAATGGTAATATTAGGAGGAATTTTCTCTCTCTCTCTCTCCACACACACACACACACACACACACGCATATATACCTTCCTGATTTGTTTTTGTTAATCAGTTCAATACCAGAATAAAAGATACCCTTTCATATAATTTGAAAGGCAGCTGCTTCTCTAATATATGACTTTGAACTAATTCAAAATTATCCTTTCATGCTAACAAATTCATTTTTTGTTTCATATTGACTTAATATTCCAAGAAGACAACTGCTTCAGTTGTACAGTGGTGGACAACAAAAACAACATGAACTTGGATTCTTGAAAACAGCCATCCTTTACAACAGGTAATTCTCCTCCTTCCTCCATTCCAGCTTGCCCCTCACTGTTCACCTGGATGGGTGTAACTGTCCTGACTGATTCCTACCTCTACTCTCTCCCCTTCTAGTCAATTCTGAATAGTCACCAGTAGACTCTCCAGAAGTGGTTCTCAAACACCTCCATTACTGGGGAATTTTTTGTTTTGTTTTTTGAGAGAGGGTGTTAGTGTGTAGGCCAGGAAGACCTTGAGCTCTTGCTCCTCCTGCCCCAGCCTCTCCAGTGTTGGGATCACAGAGGTGTACTACCATGCCCAACTTGTTTTTGGTTTTTGAGACAAGGTCTTACTGTGTAGCCCAGGTGGCCTGGAACTTTCTACATAGCCTAGGTTGGGCTTGAACTTGAGATCCTCCTGCTTCAGAATCCCATGTGCTGGGATCACAGGCATTTACCACCACCCCTGCCATCTGGGAACTTTCAAGGATGCAAATTCTCAGCCTCCTACAGACTTACTGAACCAGTAACTGTCGGCGTGGTGTCCAGAAACAAGTTGTAACAAGCCCTCCAGGAAACTCTGAAGCAGGCTCAAGGTTGTCTTACAGCATGGCTCTGATAATGTGGTTCCCCATCTCGACTCCTTTGCTTGGCATTCAAAGTCTTAGATCTGCTTGCAATCTCCTACTCTTCTTCTCTTCTACTCTACAGGTACTCATGGCATTCCTCAAGCACTTTCTTGCCTTTTGCCTTTCTCCCACTCTACTTCTGCAGAGTTTTAGAGAGAGACATTTCCCCAAGATACCTCTCTGGCGATTCCCTGGCGCCCTTTAAGGTTCTGTTCCAGCAGTGTTGCTCTGGGAACAATTTTTCTGACCCAGTTCAAAGTATTTTTCTTCTCATTTGTGGTTTTCATACAATTTATACCTTTTTAATGTTTCTATGGCTTATGGTTTAATGGTTATTTTTCCATCCCATTTCTCCTTGAAAGCATGCACTAGGTCTTACTTGTCTGCCTTGCCAAGCACACCCAATATTTATAAACTCAATCACTAGCAGGGGAGTGAGCAGAAGAAAAATGACTACTTAAAAGGCATGGAGTTTATTTCTTCCTGACCAACCTCTTCTGCACCTTTGCTGTAGTATGGTTTAAGGTTATGCATTTGTTTTCCCTGGGAGCCCATGAAGGGTTGATGATTCAAAGGACTATGTTTTGTGCCATGTGAGGCTCTTTATACTCGCTTCCAAAAGTCTTCTTTTGAAAGGAGAACTACTTGATAAAAGCTAATTAGATTAGTAAGCTAATTAATGTAAGCATTAATAAGCTCAATGAAGTACACACAACTGCACCCCCTGGACAAAGGACAAAAGTCAAACTTTCAAGGCAAAGAACATAGTACTTTCTTATCTCCGAACAGACAGAAATACTATGCAAATAGTCCCTCCTCATCCACAAAAGCTGCTGAGATTTTTATTTTGTACTCAGTGAAGAGTTAGGGCAGCCAGGTGTGGTGGTTACTTGGGATCTGAGGTTTGAGGCCAGAACAGACAAGTTAGTGAGACCAGATCCACTTAAAAAAAAAAAAAAAAAGGATAAACCATTTTTAACTTATGAGCTATAAAACCAGACTGTGGATTGAATTTGCTCCATGGACCATAGACTAAATATAAATACAAAACACACTTATAAACCAAGGTTCATAGGAGTGTCATAATTAGTTTTTTACAACTGTATCTTTTTGTTGGTGGTGGTGGTACTGAGGTTTTAACCTCAGGTTTTTGTGCTTGCAAAGTGTGCACTCTACTGCTTGAGCCACACTCCAGCCCTACATCTTATTGTATCTTATCTATACAATTTTTAAAAATCTGAAAATGCAAAGAAAGCATTTAATGCCAGAGTTGGACTGAGACCCACACAGACTTACAAAAGGGCAGAATTTTATTGCTGGAGGAGATTCCAGAAAGTATCTACTTTGAACACTTTATACATTTCATAAATAGTAACTCACAGATAAATGTGATCAACTGACTAACTTACAAATACTCGAGGGACAGCAGGCCTTCAAATGAATCCTTACGTAGTTCAGTCAGGCGATTTTCACTGAGAATTCTGGAAGATGAAAGGTTATCTCTGTATCAAAATTCATCAAAAAGATGTAAAGAATCGAGTGGTGAAAGGCTCGGGAAAGGAGTGCTATCATATTCTGTTGCCTGGAGTGTAAGTTGGTGCCACTTTTTAGAGGCAATTAAAATTCCCTATCTGTACTAGTCGTTAACTTACCCATCTCATTCCTAGATCCCTATTGTACAGGAATATTTGTCCATGCTCACAAAGAAGTATGTACAGGGTTGTTCATTGTAGCTATGAGTGCAACAAGAAAACTTGACATGCTCTAAAAAGAATATGGAATTATGAAATCAACCACAATGTGCCCCACTGTGGAATATTTTGCAGGAGCTTATGGGTAGGGAAAGTTCTATGTACAGGGAAAGAAGTAAACATGACACAGTGAAGAGAAAATGTTATGAAAATCATGCAATAAAACTATTTGCTGTATATAAATATGCAGGTAGGCATGCATGTTTAAAATAACCACAGAACTTCAATCAATTGAGTTCAATCCAGGATGTGGAGGGGAAATACCTTTTCTCAGAGTTACTGACCTCAAAATTCTCCACCAAGGAGGCTCTTACAATGCAGTTTTTGTATTCATATTTGGAAAGAAAATACTCACAGTTTCTCAGTCCAACGATATGCTTTCCATGTATTTTTATCAATGTAATCAATAGCGTTTCCATGGAAATTTCTGTGAGGAAATAGTTTATATCCTTGAATAAGTAGGAAAATGAGGAGCAGAATAAGTGAAAGAATCATTGCAAACAGGGCGGTGGGGGGGGGCGAGGGGGAAGTAGGGAATGTTCAAATATAGGAAAACCACCAGCTTTGTAACTTTGAGAACTCCCAGTTGTTCAGTTTGCAATTAATAAAGAAATAACGGGACGAGCAGCACAAATGATGAAGGATCTCATCAGAAGCCCAAGTCCCACTGTCCAATCGCTTGTATATATAATGCCAGTCAATTATTTTGAATGCAAGTATTTTTCTCAAAATCATTTGTGTTTAAACTTACTCCTACAAATCAATGAGAAAAGGACAAATAATTCAATAGGAAAATGGGGAAATTTTTATCATTATTAGCAAATGAGAATAAAGAAACTCTGTCAGGTAACACCAAAGCTTTGCCTAAGTGATCTTACAAAGAAAGAGCATATAGAAAGCAGGAAGTGCATTCCTGAAGGGGGAGGACAATTAGAAATGAGCTGATGTGGAAAGGTCTCTGGTGCAGGGGGAAGCACAAATCTGAGGAGGAGTTTACAGCATTACCTCATCAGGGAAAAAGTGCAAAGAAGAGAAAGTGGAAGGAAGGACACACAGGGGTGTGAAACAGGGGTTATCTTATGGGTGGTAGGCATGGAAGAGTGGGTGATAAAGGGTGTGAGGGTGGCTGTATACGTTCACATTTTTCCTACATGCTTCTATGACTTTTTGAGGTGCTGGGGATTGAACCCAGGCAACCTCAAAATGCTAGGCAAGTGCTCTACCACTGAGCTACATCCCCAACCATTTGGTTTTTTTTGACACAGAGCCTTGCTGTGTGGTCAAGAGTGGCCTTGAAATTCACACCCTCCTGTTCCAGTCCTCAGAGTGGCGGGATTAAACACGTGTGCCACCACACCAGCATTTGAGACTTTTTTAAAAGTGGGAATCTATCCTTAGGTGACACGTGTTTAAAAGAAGGTGTAAGCCAGGCTCCAGTGGCTCAGGACTTTAATCCAAAACAACAACAAATCCTCCTGCTTTAATCATTCATCTCTCTTCCTTGGAAACGTTTAGTGACTCTCCACACCTCACTGTAACTTTCAAACCCCTATAGTTCATATTCAAGGTCTTTCATAATAACATCTTTCATTGCTTCCTAATCCAATTCTTTGCAGGCAGACTGGTCTACTAAAGCCTGATTATTGCTGCAGCCGTGCCTTTGCCTAGGTTGTTTTTTGTCTATTTAACAGTTACAGCCACTCTCTAAGCTCTAGATAAACTTTCAGCTTATCCTCCAGTTTTCTATAACCTCCACAACTCAGCGATTACAGAATCCGACGAATTACAGCTCCTATAGTCTGATTCTCTTTTAGCATTTCATTATATACCATCTCTCCTTTTTATGCCTTTTTTCCTTTCTTTGCATCTATCATTTTCATGTTCTGGAGACAATGCCATAATTCTGTGACTCCCACAGAACTTAGCCCTGGGTTGGGCACAAAATGGATGCAATATGTAGAAATTATAAGGACAAGGATGAGTTCTGGACATAACTGAGGGACTGAATAATATTATTAATAGTTATCTGAATATTTAGCATATACAGATAAGTATTACATGTATTCATTCATCTAAATCATACAACAATCCTATGAAATGGTAACTATTATAATTCCCATTTCCACAGATGAGGAAACTGAGTCACAGAGCTAAATAATTTGCTCAGGTGTACAAAGTTAATAAATGAAAGGCCCAGATTCAAACCCAGGCAGTCAGGTTCCAGAATCAACTCTTAGCCACTTTGTTGTATCCTCACTAATGAGATGAGTTGTAAAGCAAAACTGGGAGAGCAAAGGTTAAGCAGTGAGATGACACAGCTGAATAAAAATGGATATGGAAAAAGAGAAAGGGCAATTGAGAATTAAAGAACAGAGAAGGGAACCATAATAAGAAGGAGAATGCAGACAAGGAAAAGTTGAAAAGCAAAAGGTAAAAGCAGACAGTCCGTGTGGGTTAGGGAGATGAGGAAGGCCCAGGAAGACCTTGAGGAAAAGGCTGCCCTGCAGGCAGAGTGTAGAGCACAAGGGAGGAAAGGTGGATCTTACAGGGTGGTGAGAACCTTCTTGTAGGTGTTGGGCTTCGGCACAGGCACTTGGCGGAGCTTCTGCGTTGGGCTGAGACCAACACACAACAGTGATTCATCTCGACAGGTACAGAGCTCACATATGTTGGTGTACGGGGTGGCATTCGGTTCCGTTTGCAGAGTTAGAGCATTTTCTGTGGTGGGATTTACAGGATGTGGAATAGTGGTGCGTTTCAGACCAGACTGAAGCTGTTCTGAATGTGGAGGTGTCACTTCAGTGTGCTGTGGAGGAGTTGGAGTGTTATTTGCCTCTGTAACTGGCAACGTTGGATGCTGAGTTTGATCTTGACCTGATGTTGGAGTTTGAATTGTAGTCTCTGTAGTTGAGGTTTCCTGCACAGACAAACGTTTAGCCTCTGTAGTAGGGTGTGAAGATTTGGTAAGCTCCTGCTTTAAAGTCTGAAGTGTGACTTGTGGAAGCGTCACCTCAACCTTCGGAGGAGGAGCTGTTGTCTTAGAATGTTTAGCCTTTGTAGTGGGTTCTGCAGTTGAGGTAAGTTCTAGATCAAAATGTAGAATTGTGACTTGGGTCAGATTTGGATGCTGAATCTGAACCTGGTCTAGATGTGGAAGTGTCACCTCCTTTGGAGGAGACTCTGTCATCTTCAGGTCTGGAGAATATCCAGCCCCTGCAGTAGGTATTGGAGTCACGCTAAGATCTAGTTCTGTAAGAGACACTGAATGCGGGGTTTGATCCTGACCTGACATTGGAACTGTCATTGCATAATACACTGGAGCTTGAGGTATAAACTCCTTAGGTGGCTCTGGAGTCTCAGTTAGGGTGTCCTGCGTGGTTTGAGAAGATTCACCCTGCAAACTGGACTCTGAAGTTAAGGTAATTCCCAGATTGGAAGGCCGAACTGTGAATTCATTCAGGTGTGGACGCTGAGCCTGATCCTGGACTGGATGTGGAAGTGTCCCCCCAGGGTGCTTTGGAGGAAGAGCTGTTGTCGTCTTCACATTGGTAAAATGTTCAGCCTCTGTAGTGGGTTCTGGAGTTGAGGTAAGTTCTACTTCAAAAGGTCGAACTGAGACTTGGGTCAGATTTGGATGGTGAGCCTGCATCTGGTCAGGATGCTTTAGAGGAGCTGTAGGGTTCAGTGGGCTGTACTGAGGTCAGCCCCTGTAGTGGGTTCTGGAGTTATGGTGAGATCCAGGCCTAAAGTTTCAAATGAGGGGCTGGGTGATGTTGGATACTGAACTTCATCCTGACCTGGTGTTGGAACTGGTGATTGAGGTACCACCTCCATAGGGGGCTCAGTAGGCTGAACTGGGTTCTCTTGCATGGTTGGAGAAAGCTCATCTTCAGTAATAGGCTGTACAGCTATGCTAAGTTGGAGATCCACAGGTTGAATTGTGTCTTCGGTCAGATTTGGATGCTGATCCTGAACCTGGACCGGACGTGGAAGTGTCACTTGAGGGGGCTTTGGAGGAGGAGTTCTAGTCTTCTTCATAGGTGGAGAATTTTTAACCTTTGTAGTGGGTTTGGAAGTTATGGGGAGCTCCAGATCCAAAGGTTGAAATGTGACACTGGACATTGAATACTGAGCTTCATCCTGACCTATTGTTGGAACTGCCATCTCATAATGCACTGGAGGCTGAGCTGTGGGCTGTGGCTGGCCTGGAGAAGACTCAACATTTTCAGGGAATTGTGGAGTCTGGGAAGGGGGATGAGACCGGGTTGGAGAAAATCCAAGTTGCTCAGGGGCATCTGTAGGGTTTTGAGTGTCCTGCTGGCCAGGAATGGGTTCAAACTCCACAGTGGTCTCTGGAGTCATGGTAATCTCCACATCCCCATGTGTAACTGTGGTTTCTTGCAAATTTGCATGCTGATTTCTAAATATCATTTCTAGATTGTGAGGTGAAAGTGATGTGTTATCTGCCAATGGAGGAAGATCACTAGCCTCAGAGGATTCTGGAGACGGAGTTGGGAGTTGTGGCTGAATTGGTGAAAGTTCAGCATTCGCAGGGGGCATTACAGGAGGAACTGAGCTCTCCTGCTGGCTTGGAGAAGGTTCCTCAGGAAGCTCTTCTGGCTGAGTTGTAGCCCCTTGATTGACTGGAGAAAGTTCATCCTTTTCTGAGGGTTCTGGCATCTGAGTTGTAATCTCATGCTGGTTTTTCAAAGCTTCAGACTGTTCAGAGGACACTGAGGACTCAGCTGGTTGTTCCTGCTGGGGTGGAGGAGGTTCAAACTCCTCAGTATGCTCTGAGGCCTGTACTGGAGCAGCCATGTGAATTCCAGAAAGTTGAGCCTCCCCAGGAGACACAGAAGGCTGAACTGTTTGTTCCTTCTCACCGAGAGAAGGTTCTGCCCCTTCAGCATACTCTGAAGGCTGAGTTAGAGCAGATGCAGCCTCCTGGGCTGGCTCTGGAGTTATGGTAATTGCCACATCCACAGGCTTACTTGTTTCACTGGCCAAGTTATCCTGTTGTGCTTGATTCTGAACGCGAGCTTGAACTGTCACCTCTGGAGCTTGAACTGTCACCTCTGGAGCTTGAACTGAAGCCTCTGGAGCTTGAACTGGAACCTCTTGCTCAGGTGAAGGCTTGACTTCCTCAGATGGCTTTGCAGGCTGAACTGGAGCTTCTGTCTGGCTTCCAGAAGGTTCCAATTCCTCAGAAGACTCAGAAGGTTGAGCTGGCTGTTCTTGCTCACTGGGAGAAGTTTCAGTCTCTGAAAGAGGGCCTGAAGGCTGAGGTGGGACCACTTGCTGGGTTAAAGAAGGTTGAAGCTCCTCACCATACTCTGGAGGCTGAACTGGGGACTGCAGATGGGTTCCAGAAGTTTCAGCCTCCCCGGGAGATTCAGAAGGCTCAGCTGGGGCCCGTGGCTGGGCTAGAGAAGATGCAGCCGCCTTGGTAGGCTCTGATGTCATGGTGATTTCCACATCCACAGGCTTACCTGTAACACCGGGCAAGATAGTTTGTTGAGCTTGATCCTGAGCTGGAGGTTGAACCGTCACCTCCTGATTTGGTAGAGTTGGAGCTGTGTTCTCTATAGGGGACTCTGGAGCTTCATCTGTAGGATCTTGCTCAACAGGGGGTTTGACTTCTTTCGGAGGAGTTGTAGGCTGAACTGGGGCTTCCATCTGGCTTGCAGAAGGTTCAGTGTCTTCAGGGAGCTCTGAAGTCTGAGCTGGAGCCTCTTGTTGGATGGATGAGAGTGTTACGTCCTCAGTATTCTCTGAGGCCTGCTTCTGCCTTGGAGAAGGCTCTGGAGTTACTGTAACCTCCAGATCGGTATGTTTCACGGTGACTTTTGGCAAGTCTGAGGGTTGAACTGGGGCTTCTTGCTGGACTGCAGAAGGTTCAACTTGCTCAAGGGCTCTGGAGGCTCATCTGTGCTCTCCTGAGGTTTCAGAGGAGGGCTGTCAGAATCAGCTGTGCTCAGACCTGGATCTGTGTCATCATCCTGCAAGGGTTGTGTCTGAAGCTGAAGGTTTGCAAATTGGTGTGGAGTTCCAACCACAGTGTCCTCAAGTTCGTGATGCTGAGCTACATACTTTTTCAGTTTCCAGGGTAAACCAATAAACATTTTTTTTTTGATCTCTTATGATCAAGAAGTGGAACAAATACATCAAATACTTGATCTGAAGCCTGATCTAGACTGACAGGCTGAGTCTTACTTTTGAGTAGAAGAGGCAGAGCTGGGGCCTGATTCTGTTCCCCGCAGGTCAGCTGGACCAAGTCCTGGGCCCTCTTCGGAATGGGAAAACCCTGGGTCAACAACCATGTCTCTAGCGACATGAGAAGGAGCCTTGGGGCCCAAATACCTAGAAGGGACATGACATGCAACAGGGACAGAGTCAAGGGAGTAATGCCTTGGCAGCTTCCCTAGCTCACCTTGGCACAGCTCCTGCCACGCCCACCCTTTATGACACCTTTGTTTAGGAAACAAACCCTTACAAGGCTCAGCCCAGTTGGGCTTCAGGCCCTGCAGTAAGGAGCCTTTTCCCACAAAGACAAGACCCAAATGTCATTCCCCTAGAGGAGGCCACAAATGCCTTTTATGGGGCCACTCCCCCACAGCGAGGCGGGGTTGGAGCTCAGACCTGGGGCCAGCAGCCCATTGGGTATGGTGGGGCAGGGCGGGGCCTCCAGGGATATTCCCAGGGCTAATCCAGTTTGGGCAACCTGAGCTTCTCCTCTTCCAAGCGGACATCCCAGAGATACTCTTCCCCTTGGCTGTACTGCTTCCAAGAAAAGCAACTCGCCTGCGAAATCAGAGCCAATTAGGGTGCAGGCAAGACAGCACACATTACAGTTATTTATTCCACAATGCTGCCATTTCCTCTAAACTCTTAGTTCCACGGTTCATGATCCACCACTCCCTTGTTGGGGCTACCAGAGAATCAGGGATGATTCCAAAAGTTCTGCAGGAGGGGTCTTGGGCGGTGGGCAATTCAGCCTGACACAGAAGGTTAGAATCTGACATGGCCCCTTACATTGGCCTGGGGAAGCAACCACATCCCGCCTTGGCTCAACACAGTGAGAATCTAGAAGTGACACCACCATGACTCAGAGGTCTACCCCATGTGCACGCGTGGACAAGACATTACTTCCTTCAGAGCCCTTCTTACAACAACCTATTTTACTGTATGTTTATTGTCCACCATGGCCCATCATGTAAAGTCCCAGAATAGGCTTCATCCTATTTATTCCCCTCGCCTTGCACAGGGCTGGGCACATTGTGATGGTTTTAAGGATGGATCTGTTATAATCAGATTTCTGAAATCAGTGCTGACTTCTCTCTCGTTTCACAGGAAGCTAGGCCTCCTAAACTGTGACTGGTTTTATTTAAACTGAATGAACATAATTATTTTACACGGGAAAAGCTTCCAATACTTTTTCAGCTTCATCTCTACCGTTTCAAGACAAAACACTTCACAACTTCAGGTCAAGTTAAATAATCAAAAAAATCCCTAAATTAAGTTCCCACTGGCATGAAACACACTTTTTGCTCCTCCCCTCTTAGCCTATCCTATACACAGTAAGTAGTATCTATTTCCTTCTAGAAATTACTTTGGCAACTTAATCCTTAAGATTTAGGGACTTTCAGATAATTGATTTATAGAAAGGTTCTTTGGAAGGCAAAATATTCTCCGTGAGACATGGGAAGATGCTGAGATTTAGGTAGTACTCCACAGTTGAAAAGCGTAATGGTTTTCACAGGCATAAAATAATGGCATAAGGCTGAAGGTAGTATTTTGTTCCTAATCCCTGGGATCCTGTTTGGGAAGAGTTCTAAAAAGATTTATGTTCAATCATCCTGACCTCTTGAACCCCTGCAGACGGAGGGAGCCCAGACCCTCTCTTGGATCCACAACTATAGTAGTACTCAGAGGCCTCAGTCCTGTTCTCCACACTTCAAACAAGAGCTCAGAGTTAAGACTGGGAGTTTAGGAAACGCCCCAGAAATCCCCTGTATTCAATTAATTCACTTGAGGTTCCCATTTTGCTAAGAATGATATGTGCACAAGTCCTCCAAATCCTGTTGCCTGTTTTGAAGCATGGCTACACTGGCTAAGTCACCCTTGAGCTTTCCTCTCCACATGAATGAACTCATGTAGTTCTTCACTTTTGGCATCTTCCCTGGGTCTGTACTCTATAGCTATTTTACCACTACGGAAATAAAGTTAATGAAGATCAATTGAGAATTTTTCTTATTGTAAACTTATTGCATATAACAATAGCATCCAATAATGAGTCATTCTGTTTAAATTTTGAACTCACAATGCTCTTGCCTCAGGCTCCCCATGCTGAGATTACAGACCTACATCACAATGCCTGGCATGAGACGGTCTTCGATTTCAAAAAGCAGAAAGGGAAAATATTTCCCTAAAAATGTCCTCATCTTACACCACAATTTCTAACATAAACGTGTGTTTAAAAACACATATGAAATATCAACTGGTTTTGGTTCAAAGAACTTTGTGATTTTAGGGACAGGAAGTAAGAATAATGACAGGAATTTGGATTCAAAAATGTTCAAAGGATTGAATGGATAGTAAGACATTAGGCAGGGGTCAAAGTGAGTTCAAAGTTGGTAAGAGAGACCAACGGACGAGTAGATACCTCATATTAGAAGCAAGGGGAAGCCTAACAACCAAATCCACTCCATACAATGAGCACAGCTTTAGAGAAACTTTTATTGACAGAAACTGCACCATGTACCTTATACACAATACAACTTTCCTCAAAGCACACTAAGAGCCATTAGGCTTTTGGTCTAAGGAGAGAAGATTTGCAGTCATTTTTCTCACAAATGTCACAAGAACATATGAAACTATCATTATAAAAGACTAGTGGATGAAAGCATAATATGGAATATTTTAAGTCTCCATGTTTTCACCCATTTACCTTTTCGCAGTGAGTTTATTTTCTCATTGAAACTGAAGTCTTTTAAAGACAGTCAAGAAAGTTTTACCTAAAACCACAATGGTCAGTTTGTGGAAGGCATCTGACAAAGCTCTCTGAATAGTGAGCTTCTGTTTTCCTTTTCACAAAGAAGGATGAGGGCCCTATATCCAACAAAACAGATGGATTTAAAATATCTCTATGATTGATAACTGTTCTATGTTTAAAAATAATACACCCACGATTCTCAGGTCATTATCCTTGTGATTACAGGTAGACAGCACAGGGTTTAGCTGCATGGCTCTGCTGTAGGTACATGCTGCTAGGGTCTATTTTCATTGTCTTAATCTATTCTGGAAGGTCCTGATGTATCAGAAGGGGGATCTAAGCCGGGAACTTGGCACAAATTTCAAATTGACAAGTGGAAGCTCTGCCCCCTACAGACCCTTGCCTTCTTGCATCACATACACTGAGAACGGTTTGGTGGCAGAACAGATGCTCTGGCTCCTACCCGTGCATAAGCCACAGGAGCCTACTCAACTGCATTCGCTAACAGCCCTGCCTCTGACTTAAACACAAAAGCTGAAGGGCCATGGGTTCTAGAAAAAACTCAATATCGATCTGAGAACTATTTGTAGGTATCCACGTTTGACTCGTTTTCTGCTCAAGCCCTTTTATGAGTAGAGTAGGCAAAGAACTGAACATTTACACAAGAGTTTATGGAAATTATTAGATGTGATTTTGCTGAGACAACTGAAGACTACAAAGAGATCTGTATTTGAAAAACTCTTTTACCATAAAGCAAGTTCTTAACCAAAAACTAGAAAAAAATTATTTCCTTTCTCCTCCTATGCTTCTTGGCAGGAAGTCTGCTCTCAAATTTTACACTGCAACACTCTGTGAGGTGTTGCCAAAAGGAAACTGATGATGTAAGGCACAGAAACTCTGCCCAGAACTTCAGTAGCTTAGCAAGAGAGGGGCCTGAGAGGTACCAAAAAAAGTTTTAAAAGAAAGGAAAAAAAAAAAAAGAGAGAGCCCTCTCCCTGTCCCCTCCCTGCACTGAGAACAGACCTTCTATAGCTAATTGTTCTTTTGTTTTATTATTACACTCCTCGCAAACACTGGAGAAAATTATGGGCTCCACCAACCAAGTGTTTGGAATGATTATTATTAATTCTAGGTGGTGGGCCAATTCAGATATATCCACTCACCCTCAACAGTGGGTGGGCTCTTGCATGTACTCCTCACAACCCAGTTCAATCCTGTATAAAGGATTATAATGTTGAAAGGAGAGTGTGGTTAGTCAAATTAATTCTACAAGGTTTACCTTAATGATCCTTTTTGACCATATATTGAAACCAAATTTGCAAGTTCTTGACATCGTGATCTGTTTAGGGCCAGGATCTGATACTGAACAGCCTTATGTCTGGTACCAAGATGAACTTAAGGTCACAGGTGATACTGCCACAAAAATCGCAACCTGCCAGAGACTTTATTTTAGATACATTTACTATTCATCAATACTCATTTCATAGAGTAGTTGTGAAGAGTATCTGAATAGGAAGGAACATTTTAAGTTCTATATTCATAGTGAGCCTTAAAAAAATATTGTCTGTTAGTCCTGAGTCATAGTACTTTCCTGCGTCATTTTTTGGGCCCCTGATTATTTGGAAGGCTTTTATGACCTCTGGTGGTAGTAATGATGATGAAAGTAACTAAGGAGCCCTGCAGCAAAAGTATAGGGCTGTGAGTGAGCAAAGAATTGTTTCCATCTTCCCAACCACTAGCTCCTGCTTGAGAATCTAACCTAAAGAGCAGATGCACCTGCCACTCACTCTATCTCCAAGCTACTAATGGCTGTTAGATGAAGGAAGGCACATATGTCTATGAATTTTACAAACAGCTAAAACTGTTAGAGGCTCATCTGCGCTAACATTCTTTGAGAATGCAAATTTCTCTAAGTATAAACT